CAAGTGACGGTGCTCCTGCGGCGTACATGTTTTCACCGAGAACGGGAAAGAGGAATCCGCCACTATCTCCGTTCCACTCGTTGTTGGGAACATAATCGGAGGACTGGAGGTTGACACCAACACCAATATCGGCGATGTGTCTCCACCGAGGGAAGATGATCCTGGCCGAAACCACCAACACCAAAATCTAGGGTCACCTTCCCCTGGTGGAGGCAACCCTCGGTGCTGGTGTTAGTGCCCAGTTCTAAACCTCCAGCAGAAAGCATTTCCTTGATCCGCCGACGAACTTTTTTGTCGGTGCGGTGTTCCGATCGCCTTTTGCCTTGAGATATCGACCGTTGTTTGCGTAGGGTTCCGCTCGAATGGTCACACATGGCGCGCCGTTCGCGCGAGCTGCAAGCCGCAGAGTGTACCGAAAAACTGCGACTCACGAAGGTGAAGCAACGTTAGACTTCCCGCTGGCCCTCCTCGTGTGCCTCCTCGCGCGCGCGCCGCCTACCTGCCGCTGTTTGGGGCTCAAGGGGACGGGAGTGGCCTCGGAGCTGTTGTGCCTTGCCAGTGAAAAAGATGGGGGGAAGGGGGCGGGAGCTAAAGTCGAAACGCGAGTGCGTAAGCTATGGGCAAGGAACCAGTGCACGGCTTCAGCAATCCGTCTGGCCGCCGCGCCAGACACCCGCAGGCACCGTGAGTGAAGCCATTATGCAGGCACCCCAGAGAGTGTTGCGCTGATCGTGCAGGAGCGCATGCGGGGGAACATCCGGGAAAGCATGCGGGAGACTCCACGGGAGATCAGGCGGGAAGCCGTGCGGGAGACCATGCGCGAGGCCTTGCGGGAGACCATGCGGGAAAACATACGGGAACCAGACGGGAGACCATGCGGGAAACCACCTGGGAGGCCATACGGGAGACCATACGTGAGACCACGAGGCATCGATTCTGGCTCCAGCTGAGTTCGCCCCAGTTTTCTGCTTCTATGTATATGTATACTTTTATGTATCTGCCTGAATCTACGTATCTCTATATGCCGCTGCTTCCGTACTTGTGTATGCATATATATATATATACATACACGTGTACGTTTGTCAGCACGCATGCGCGCGCATACCCAGCCTATGCAGAATCATATGCGAATGTATGCACACGGTGCACCGCGTACACATCTACATACACATGCATATGCATCTACCTACACATATGCAGATGCATACACATGTACACATACATGTGTATGTATACATACATGTACATATGCGTATGTATGTCATATGCGCATCCACTTACACTCACATACACATACACATATTCATATACATATACATATTCACATGCTATACATATACATTTGCATATACATATACAATCACAATACATTTACACACCTATACGACCACCCTGCAGGTGATAAGGACGCTGGGGGGCAGCAGTGGGCAAACGTGGTGTTTGTTGTTCTGACGATGCCTGTGGGGCGGAGTTTATTGAGTAGTGTGATTGTGCACGCGCGCGTGATGTGATGTGGCGGTGTTGGCGAAACGCATTCGACATTGTCGTGAAGCGCTGTCCCCGCGTGCGGTTTTCAATCGCGCGAACATCACCCCAGCGCTAGTCGATGTGGTCGAACGTGCGCGCTGCGGTGCCACAGTGACTGTTCGAAGAAAATCATTTGGTCCGCCGCGGCCCAGCGACAGGAGGATTTCGGGACACCAGCGGGACACTGGCGGGACACCGCGGGCCTCCGGCCGCCACAGGAGAAACATTTGGTCCGGCCGCGGCCCAGCCACAGGACGATTTCGGGACACCAGCGGGACACCGGCGGGACACCGCGGGCTTCCGGCCGCCGGAGGAGAAACATTTGGTCCGGCCGCGGCCCAGCCACAGGAGGATTTCCTCTCGCCCGCCCACGCAGCTTCGCCTCGCCCGCACGCGCGCACGGCACGCACGACACGAACCCGAAAACGAAATCGTTTTCCCGGTAGGGGGGGTCTTCCGTTTCACGTCGGACTTACCCCCCGATATACATATACATTTACACACATAAACATAAACATATATATGTACACATTCATACACATATACACATACACATACATATATGTAGACATTTACACATACATATCCATATTCACATACATGCGCATATACACATATACAGTTACATCGGCATAAACATATACATATATTTATACATATATTTCTATATGCAGATGCGTATGCATATACGTATACATATACACACACCTACACATACATATGGCTAGGTATATACATATGCGCATACACATACATCTACGTATACATGTACATACAATATACATATACATATGCATTCACATATACATTCACACATACATATACATCTGCATTTACATATTCACATACGTATGCATCTTCGTACGCACATACATGTACATACACACTTACATAATCACATACAGCTGCACGCATAAACACATACATGTACATGTGCATATACGTATTCATGTGCATCTACATTTGCGTTTGCATATACATGTACATACACATCTTCATAAACTTATACCTACCCACCTTCATAGAACTTTGCACACCATGCATACACGCTATGTAGCGAACGAGTCCACGCATTCGTTCAGATACCCGGGAGGCAATCTGAGAAAACATGCCTGGTTCAACAGCTCTTACTGAGGACTGCGTGGGTTTCGAATGCACCCCGCGTCTGTCAGTCGTGTTACAAGGTGCCCGATTAATTAGGCATGTCGAGTTTTATCTTCGTTGCCGTCGCCGTCGATTTCGTCATCGAGATCAAAAGCTCCCCTAGCCCTGTGGGGTTCCCAGTGGTTCCAGTGGGACGCCCAAGACTTTCCAGGGGCCTGCGAGTGCTTGGGCCTCCCAGGGCCTCCTGGGCCTTTGAGCAATGGCTTCAGAGGGCTTCCGGAAGACGCCCCAGGGCGGGGGCGGGGAGCCGCAGGAGAATGGTGGGCGGGATCGCTTCCGTCCAAAGCTTCTGAGGGTCTCTCGGGAAGTGCGGTGCGCTCCAGGATCGGGGGCCCCCAGACGGTGCGGCGACCACACTGTGTGGTGGAGACTCGGGGTGACTGCACGACTTTGGGACTCGGGACGTTCTCCGAAGATGCCTCGTGCAGCTGGGGCTTCCAAGGTTACCAAACGATGCGGTGACGGACCGTGCGGTGAGGTCTCTGCGGACTTCGAGATCACCGCGCGGCCCGCTACAGCACCGTTTTGGGACCCTCAGAGCCAGCTTTCCAGAGCCTCATCGGCATCACCTAAACACAGTACGGTGGGGGCGTTGGTTAAGGAATGTGTCCAGGGGCTTCAGACCCTGGAGGGTTCCTTATCTGATGAGGGCGGCGGTGGTTTCTATGGCCAATACACGATTGGCTTTCCACTGGCTTCCAGACCCTGGATTCCTTGTCGAAGGTTTCCTTATCCAATGTCATTACCGTGATGTCATGTGTGCCTCTGCACTCCCAGGGGCGACGCGCGCGACTTCGTGGTATATGCTCGGTGGAGGGCGCTCACTGGCCATTCCGCTCGGGCGAGGATATGCTGCAGGATGATTGTACTGCATGTCGGGTCGGGCGCACGCCTCCAAGGAGGACACATAGTATTAGTGCGTCCTTGTGCGTCCCGCGTCAGGGATTTCCCTGTTCACTTCTTGCCAAGCCACCCCCACCCAACCCGAAGGCCCCAGACCATCCCAAATTTTGGGTTGGGGCGTATAATTACGGGTTCCATCGTGAATTCCTCAGTGTTTTGGAGTGGCCCCACTGTAAGTCGACGGGCCCAACAATGACTTGGGGCTGGGCTGGGGTGGTTCGGTAGGTAGTCGCCCGTGGCTGCCCAGGAATCTCCCTGGCCTTGGGAGCCTACCTCTTGGCATCGCTCGGACGTGTGCATTTTTCCTTCGGCGAGGACCATCGAGGAGCATTCTTGATCATTTGGCAAAAAAAAAACACGCATGAAACCGAGAAAAACGCGGGGAATGGACGTCCGAGCGATGGCGAGGGGAGAAGCTCTTCCCGCTCCCGCCGCGTCGCGGTGCTCGCTCGCTCGCTCGTCCTCTCGCTGCTGGTCCCTGCAGCTCATCCCCCGCCGCCTTCAGATTGCGCCTTCTCCGCCTTGCGCTCAGCGTCGGTCGTCGGTCGTCGGCCGTCGGTCATCGGTCGTCGATAGTCGGTCGTTCGTCGCCCGTCGTCCGCCTCATGATCGTTCTGGATTTTTCAAGTGGGGGGGTCACAACCCTCCCAGACGAGCGATTTCAGACCCCCCTCCAGACCAGCAGTGAGAAGGCGCCCTTTTGCTCAGACCCCGCCGAACCCTCCAAGAGAGCTCAAACCCCGCCCATGTGGTCACCCCTCCCTTTACTATGACATCCGGATTACTGCTTCTCCGCCCCGCGCTCGTCGTCGGTCGCCGTCGGTGGTCGGTGGTCGGTGATCGGTCGTCGGTCGTCGGTCGTCGGTCATCCGTCGTCCGTCGTCGTCGTTCTCCTGCTCCTCCTCTTCCGCTTCCTCCTCTTCCTCCTCCTCCTCCTCCTCCTCCTCCCCCTGCCGGCCCTAGCGAGAAGGCAGGGCTGTTGCACAATCAATCGCAGGGGTTTTGGCAGAAGTGCGCAAGACACCAGCGCAGGTGTTTGAAGTTGCACCCCCTTATGCGGATGTCCTTGTCCTTGTCCTCCTCCTCCTCCTCCTCCTTCTATTCGTCGTCCTCCTTCGCGTGCCCCTCCGTGCAGCCAGCCCGTGCTGGTGGACTGCGCCTCCCCGCGCTGGCCCGCCAGGTGACTCCGATGTCGCCCGTCCACCCGGGCTTCAAGAAGCTCCGGTGCCGGCACGACGCGCAGGCCACGAGAGGAGAAGGAAGGAGGAGGAGGAGGAGGAGGAGGATGAGGATGAGGATGAGGAGGAGGAGGAGGAGGAGGAGGAGGAGGAGGAGGAGGAGGAGGAGGAGGCTTGTTGGGTGGCCCATAGGGCGGCGTTCGCATCCTCGGGCACGGATACTTTTAG